TTTCTTTGTGTCTAGCTTTCTTGATTCTCCTGCAATGGAACGTTGCTTGCAAGTTATGAATTTTTTTTCAGGAAATAATTAAGTCGTTAGACTGGATGTCAGCATCGTCTAAGGCAAAGGCGCTGAGAAAAGGTTACATTTGGATTTTCTTTTCTGAAAGGCACTCAAACGATGTAGTTAAAGTAGGCCTAAACAAAAAAAATATCCCCTATTGGATACATTCAACGTTACTGTTTTAAAGGATGGTCTACCTCTCGGTATTTGTTACGTAGCCGTAATCAGATATTATGGGATCAAGTAGAATGCTAGACTTGGCGTCAGGCGTTTTTGGTTTCCCACTTGTCTAACTCGTAACATATTAAATATGCACAGACAAAGCATCTGATCTTCTCACCGAAAGGAAAATTTGAAAACGTTCCAATGACGAGCCAGAACAGATAGTGTTACCCTCGGATAGGCTAGCAATAGGTTGATGCCCAATTGCTGTGAATTTTTTCGCGACTCCCTTTCTTTTGATTCAATTTCACTTTCAGTGCACTATATTTTCTCGATATTGATCATCAATATTAAGATATTAGTATTATTACAGTAATATTAGTGTTATCATTATAGTAATACTATTTTAGTATTACAGATATTACAGAATAAAAACTAGTAAGGGCAGCAGGATGGGTGCTTTACATTTTATTTGCAGTAAATACAATCGAAAGCACCGATACTGCTGACCTTACTACATAGTAGTTCAAACCAACCATATAGCTTCTTTCAGTCGAACTAATGCCAACATACATCGGGTGGCCATTGGCGTTTGGAGATTTCAAGAACACCACTGCCATAGATGATTATCATCGTGTAAGTTGCCAGACTAGTTTACTTTTTATTTTTGCCCTCAAAAAGATTTTTTTAGAAAGATTACGCTCCCATTCTTGAAATTTTCAAAAAGGATCCTACCGACTTTTACAATGTCAAACACACCTTACAAAGAGCTTTTATAAATCGAGAGCACGTACGTCCGTTTGTTCACAGAGCGAATAGGTAATTTATTCAGTTTACCTTGAGAGTACTCTCATTTGTTGACTAATATGGACATTTAGGATGAATTTCCTTATGTCACCAGCCTTGGTTGACGCTTGGTATCAACTGGAGAGGAATGTACTCGTCGTACCTTGTGCTCTTTGGAGTCCACCTTTCTACAAGTAACGATTTCAGTTATTGGATTTTCGCCACTCTAGCACTGGAAAAATTGATCAGAAACCACATACAGTACTCGGTAGATTCCAACCATACCATAGTTTCACTCCTTTGCGATGGGACTCACCAATCCGATGACTGGCACTTGATTATATGATGCTGAAGTAATGTACACTACCTATGAACTCATATTACCAAAAACTTGGGGCGTAAACAAAAGTGAGAAGCTACCCATCTACAGAAGCGCTCAAGAGTCTTCGATCAAATGCATCACCGTCTGGGAGAAGCGTGTTGTCTTTTGCCATTTATGAGCTTTCTTACTTCGTCTAGAATTCCTGAGCTCCTAAATATTCAATTTTCCTCCACTGCAATTCGCTCTTGTACATCTTTGTTGAAAACATTACATTTTCATTTGCACATCCCAGGTGGGTCAGTTTTAAAAAGAGAATTAGCTACTAGTAGCTGCCCCAGCTCGAAGATACAATCACTATAAAATTAATCGGTTTATTGATGTCGGTCTCTACGCTATCGTTTGGTAATCATTTTGGAAATCACCACAGATTAACGGTTTCAAGAAGCCTTGTGATATTTAAGAAAATTTCAGCAAAGATTACCCGATGGCTGTCAATTTTGCCGGTCTTGGTAGCGTTGTGGGACGCGAGCTTGTGCACGCTTTTGATGATGAGGGTGAGTCAGAGAAAGTTTACCACCTACAGGCACCATTCTTTATACATCTGAAGGACTTCTCAAACTGAATTACGGATTTGTGGTGCGGAAAAACGTATCACTGGTGAAGATAGTAGGAAAACCCGAAAATCTAAGGAATATAATAATTTCAAAAAGTTTTTATAATAATCTAAGGAATATAATAGTTCCAAAAAGTTGTTAAGATCAGTGACAACTACGGAAGTTGCGTTAGGGGATTGTTCGGATGAGAGACAGTTGTATACCCTTGCACAGAATGTAAGCTGCACTCTGTAAGAAATGTCCTCCACCTTCTTCATGGATCGGGACTGCAGGCATTCAGGCCATTACCATGTTAGGCTGCTTTGTTGTTGGAATTTTTTCTCTTTTGTTATGTTACGGTATTATTGTTCCCTCTAATTAACAGTTTGAACGCATTCATGGGACCAGTGTGCCCTATGCAAGGCCTTCAAAATGGGGCCACCCTTGAGTGTAACATGCAGTAGAGAAGTTTTTTTAGCCTTTACTGCTTACTGTGTAGGCCGCTTCTCGGTCTGATAACGCCAATATGTCATGCTGCCCAGATTCTCTCCGAGGGGTAATCTCTGAATCATGTATCTAAAATCCCACACCGCTTTCCGTGAAACATAGGCAACACCGGAACTGTCTCAACAACATGTACGACTGCAATAAATAACGATAAAAATGCAAGTGGGCGCAGTAGGAAGCACCGGGTCTTCGATGAAAACGGATGGCAAGTACATGGCAGAAACTCCAGCCCATGATGAAGAAGTCAGAGGAGGCGAACTAATAGCAGTGCGTAGGCCGTCACTGGCTTTTGTGCGGCACGACTCCTCCGAAAGCGAAAAAAAGCGAAAAAAAAAGTGGAGAGAAGAACTAATCAACAATCGACCACAGAAACCCACCGCAGTTCTGGGATCATCTCCTTATACTCGCTATGTTTTTCCGAGTTTTCTTCCGCTCTCTACACTTTCAGTTTGAACAGAAAACATCGACGTATTGTGAAATCATTGGCGACTTGGGCTTGAGGGGTGTTGATGACCTGTATGTAAACTGAAGAGTCACAAAATTGATATCTTAACCAATGCATTTACCATTGTGATTTGATCATATCGAGGAGTTTGCGTTTTTTTAATGGTCTTCTAGCACATTCAAGACACCGAATGATTTTTATCGTATTAGGAATTCAGTTCGATGGATTTGGAGGGCTCATCTGTGAGGAATGGAAACACTGTTCCTGGGCGGACGACAAAACGAAGAAAGCCTACGTAGATGCGGCTCAATGTGTTGTCTCTCAGTACAGGTGAAACATCTTCAAACTGCATAGTTTCAGAAGTACCATAGCGTTCTACAGGCACTAGAAAAGCACATAACAACTCACCAGAATCATTCCATACGTAGGAACACCGCACGTTGTAGTAACTGCCTGCTTTCATAGTCTGTGATTTGGCCCACGAGAGCGCGAGCGAGCGAGCGATGGGGGAGTACTCGTCCGCCGGTGTCCACCAAGATTCATTTGTAATCAAGGAGCAAGCGCCGCCCCCATCCCTCGCTCGCGCGCTGGCAGGCCAAATCGCGGACTATGAAAGCAGCCACTGACTAACTAACGTATAGTCAATATCTTCATGAAGCTCCTCATTAGCAGTTCTTTATGCCTATAGAACATCAGAGGAGGGCAACGGGGCTTCGCGTCTTGATCTTAAATAGGACGACTTTGCGTTTTGATATGTTAACCCTTTAGCGGCAACAGCTCCCGCTGGTGGGTGCCGCTATGACGGTGCATGGGACAATGGCACTCAATGTTGGGTACCATCATGATTTTTGGTTTCTTTGCACTTCTGAAACTTATTCAATGTTTTCATGTTTATGAATAAACTTTTTGGTGTTTATATTCAACATAATCCGCATGGATGTGTTATAAAAGCTTAACATTACAAAATGGGGAGCTAATAAGAAACCTAGGCACTTTGGCGAGCTATGTGTAGGCCATAGAAGTCTTGTAGACAGTAGGGCACCAAGCATAGCTGTCGCAGAGCACAATTAATCCTCAAAGGCCCTAAATGTCAAACGAATTCCTATTGCGTACATTAATTCCAAACTCCCCTATCCTACATAGCTTCCACACCCAGACTTGGTTCCCAAGCCTTAATTATATATAATGGGTAAGATGAGATCTGGATACTTTCATTATACGGGAAATGTTGCCAAATTCAGTAAGCCAGTGAAAAGACTTCTTCCTGGCACAATAGCACCCACTGCTGGGTGCCGGTGGCGGCACGAAAGAGAATGGGCTAGGGCGTGCCTCGACGAAATGCCGTAAATGGGTTAATGAATAGGTCCTGCATACTAAACCGTGAGCCAGGTGATAAATTTGTAAAAAGAGAAGAGCCATTCAAATAAGAAGCATGAAATCATAATTCTGCTGCCACAAGAAACACTTTCGGACAATTTGATGATCTTTCCGGTTTTTTGATTTCCTTTCCGATGTCCTTTCCGATTTCTTTTCCAATTTTATGAAGAATTGTTTTAAGCAGCCAGTGTTGTCCGGTGAAAGAAGGATTCACGCGTTGCGTCGACGGTGCAGCAACCCAAGGTCAAAACATTGCAGATCTCGGAGGTAGGTGTCGTACCTCCTGTTGTTACCCCATCCGTAGGTTATTGGATAAAACAAATATAAAACCTTTGGTGAAAATTTCATGGAAACAAGTAGAACATTTAAAGGCACAGTTACCAACAGTTTGGAGGTACCCTTTTCAAGTCGTAAAGCTAAAGTATTTGTTGAGATTGGTGCATCGGTGGTGAAGGAAGCGAGGAATGTTGCCGACTCCCGCGGAAAATAATGCCCTACAAGAGTAGTGAACTCGTTCTCACAAATCGTCCTTATAACTCGTCCTCATATACACCCGGTACAAGCTTTGAGCCTTTATACGGACCTCGGACCTCGATCTTGGCCTTTTCAAACCTAATATCGCCAGATATGCTGGAGCGGATGCCTCAAATTCATCATGGGGGAATCTCATGGCCCACTTCTATCATGGAATATGCCTTTGAAGTTTGAGTAATGAAGCCAGTGTAGTTGATCATTATCGTTTGTTTGTTGCCAGTTGACTTTGCATTTTGGTTATGAATGATGCTTCGGTAAGAAGCGTTTCAGGGTTGCAGGCAGCGTATACGGGATATCTAAAATACATGCAGGATCGGAATGAAACAGAAAAAAGGTAAAGAACCGTACTTATTTGTCTTAACATTTTCAAATTATGTTATTTAGACTGCCCGGCTTGGAACAATATACTCCCAAGCAACTGTTCTGGATGTCCTACGCAAATACGTGGTGTTCAAATGAAGGAAATATTGCACGATTGTTCCAGGTTCACGACGTATTCAGAAATGACGTCACCTGGGAAACTTCCAATTTTCAGCTGATCGCAAATCAACACGCTCCCGCTGCGTGTCGAACTAACCAAGTGGTGCAGGATATTCCTGAATTTGCGGCGGATTTCGGGTGTCAAGCGGGAGAAAAAATGTTCCCTTCCCCTGATGCTCGATGTAAGGTGTGGGCTTAGACCTATTTGCCTCACCTCTTTCAAAGGTTTTCTTTTTTGTGAAATAAATATTAGCCAACAGAGTGAAAAAAGTTAACATGCAGCTGCCATACTGGGAAGGCAACAGCTCATAAACCTTTTGAGTTGGTCATACCTGCTTGCTACTGTGCCGCTAAGTACGTCTACTGTTTTCCGGGTGAGTGTACGTATGTGAGCGTTTGTGTTTATATGTGTGTTTACTTGTGTTGGTGTATGTATTGGTGCCAGTTTTTGAATTTAGGTAGTTGCTCAAAAGCACTGATGGTAGGGAGTATTAGGGAGTGACGATGCAGAGCTGAAGGCATCAAAGGNGAACAACATATTTCCTTTTATGACATGACCTTACTTGAATGCACAAATTGCTTCCGTCACTTTAAGACGCTTGGAAAAAGGTCTTCGGGCAAAGTACGGAATGGGAGGCGAGGGGTAAAAGGTAGCTAAGGGTTCACATTTTGCATTCTCGAAAGTGGTGCGCAAACTATGCTGCGCTCTAACGCTAGAGAAACGGAGGGCACAGAGCCAAGATTGCCACCTATGACGCAGGCCCAGTAGTCTTTAATAGTGCTTCTAGAAAAGTGATAAATCGTTTTCTCAGACCTTGCCAAACTGGATCTCCCAATCAAATCAAAATTCGACAACATACTATTATTGAAAGAGGCTACGCTATATTTTTGAATTTTTTTATCCAATGTTAAACATGCGTAGTTTATGCTTAAAGTTTGTTGAGCTGCATAAGGTACACGTTGGAATTGAGGCAAGTAATCACCATTGATAATTAAGGGGAGGCAAGTCAATATAAATATCAATTAACACCATTCATACCAGTTAAACAATACAATTTAAGTAATTGCTGGAATAGCAATGTCTGACTAGTCTCACAAAATTCTAGGTTTCTTAATATGTCAGTACCATTATAGCAGCATGACGCTTGAGTGGATTTTGTGTTATGATTCTAGTTTGATAGCTACCTTCCAGTATTAGCTCGAGATAATGTTTTCTACTGCTAGGTTCTAGAAAAAATAAACCCAAAAAAGCTGACGGAAGGACTGACCTAACACGAATTCCGTACTTATTCTTTAGTCAGTTGTCCAGTTGACACTTCGGGAAATTTATTCTTGCCATCAGCTCATAGTATTACTAAGCTATAGTGGCAAGTGGAGCAATCGCTATGTTTTTGGCATGATTCTACTGTTAGTTCTTTTGTTCCTGCATTTCCTACTTGCCGCTGCATTCTGCTACATTCTTTGTCGCGCGACGTCTCTCGCCGCGGCGCGGCAATTTCGTTCCTTCTGCACCACACCCGGTTATTGGTACCAGACTCGTTTGGCAGGCTAAAAGCACTGTCTTGTTTATTGGGTGGCCACAGCAAGTCATTATACAGGCTTCATACGCATTAATTATTACGCCACTGCGATTCTGAGTGGAAGTCGAGTGCGGGGTGCATCCGTGGAACAATATTGGTCGACGTCAAAAGACTTTACTTTTTATCCTAACAGATTGAGTACCGTTTTGCTGAATTCTAAAAGTGGGTCGCAGCAAAATTGTTTACTGGTAGTGAATGACTCTATGGAAAATTGAAATGTAAAGTTCGTAAATGAACCTTTTGGGTTTAATTATTAATGTGTTCGGAGAAATCTAGTTCTGTAGTAGGATCCAAGACCTCCTACACGATTGACACAGAAAACGAAATTCCTTCAACTGTATAAGCATGGAAAGGTGTAGTTCAAGTTATGTATATGTTCCACCATGCTGTTTTATGGGGGCCTGTGAGTCTTCAGACTTCAAACTGCACTTTTTCGACCTTTTCAATATAAAGCGCAAAGCACCTTGCAGCATCTGATAGCAATCTATCCCGAGAGCAATTTATATACTTGATGTCATCTGCCATTCTAACCTTTGCACTTTCTCCCGGCTTCTCGGATGAAAATACTGAGACAGACCTGCTATCGAGTTCATATAGAAAGAAAATTAACGAAGGTATTTATTTCGAAACACTGTTGTGGAGAAAATTCTGGTGGATGGCATCGAAGTTCCGATATTTGATACATTGCTGGAAAAACATCTTTTCGCCAAATCTCGCATGTCCCGATTGAGAACGATATACACAATGGTGTTACATGCACCTAAAAAGGTATCTTTAGTTTCACTCAGAGACCTACGCCATGAAGCAATTGACTCACCAGCGCAAAGCAGGCCAGTTATATAGAAAGGACCTACTTTCTTGAAAACAGAGTAGCCTAACATTTCAACTATGCCGACACCAACACTTGGAATCGTGACAAAGACCAATGATGTCAGGAGAATACCAGCGGAGGTACGGTTCGCCTTAAGAATAAATACAACCGATAAAATTAAGACAAAGGTTTAAGATTATAAGGGGGGGGGGACAAGCCAAAGAAGTAGTTCAACTTCCGTTCCGCACGTGCCCAAGACGGAAGTCAGACTTAAGAAATATTCTCGCTTCGCGAAGAATTCACCACAATTCAGAAAAACTGTTTTTTTAACGTTGGGTCATATAGGTGCAATCGTACCTGTTGAAATTTTCTCGATTCGTTGTTCATGATAGTTTGCCTAGCATTTGACTCTTTCTCAATAAGTTGAAGTTTAGCGATGAGCAGAGCTGTTAACAGAATCACAATGAAACCCATGATCTAAATGACGCACATATGCTGTTTGAAACCTAAGGCTGGATTAATTGTTTCACATGAGTGTACAGAACATCCTTACCATATTGCTAGTTCCCCAGTAGTGGCGGAATTCTGAATTGACAAAACATCCGACAGACCCGCAGTTCGGAGAGTCTTTAAAAGGGAAATATACAAATTCCAAAACAAGATCAACTGCCGCCAGAAGACAGCCAGTCAACAGGCAAATCGTAGCATATTCGGATGAAGGCATTTTTCTATACGTCACAGGAAAGAAAATAGCCTTAAACAACATAATGCTTTGTTGAAGAATCCTGTTTAATTAACTTCAATTCATACCAACGTTCGCTCGAATGCTATGGATATAGTTAGTGTCAAATTGATTTTCAATTGAGCAATGAGAAAAACACTAGCGAATACGATGTAGTATGGATCAAGACTAAAATATGTTGGATGCCAGTGAATCGTCATATATATGGTATATGGCATAGCTGAAACAAGAGAGTGGAACGAATTATTTCGTTTTTTGGATATTATTCGACTTACTCAGTAATGAGTATCACTCACTTGCTACTGCGTGAAGAAAATCTGTGCATGCAAGAAAAAGTAGCAGTCGGAGAGCAGCGTTTTTCCTTGTCTTTTCAACCCTGGAAACATTAAAGGCACTGTTCACGAAAAAATGCTTTCGGAGATCTGCACATGGTTTGGATTCGACGCCCCCTCTGATTCCATTTGTGCAGGAATGAGGTCGGAAAACGGTCTGGATAGGGCACAATAAGGGCAGGAACAGTGAGGGACGGGAGGCCTCCGCCTCTCGCTAGGCTGACTACGAGTTCTAATTGTCCTTCACTACATTCGCATTGGAACGAAGTTGTCTGCTTGGGTGTTGTCTGCTATTGCAGACATTGCGTCGCCTTCGTGCACTCGTCCGAACACTCCCTTAACCGCCGTTGCTCCGATGTGAAACTCGTCCAACCCCCCTTTCCAGCTCTTTTTTGACCCTTACTATTTTTTTGTTCATGGTTTTTTGCGCTTTTTTCGTTGTTATCGCTTTATTCTACAGTAGTTCTTTGAATTCCCGTCAAAAAAGGGTACCCTAAGTTTATCGTAACGGTGCCTTTAAGTACTCTTAAGCGCCTAGTCATTCAAGTCAAATTAAAACAATCACCTACTTGGAAAAGATGAATAGTATACAGCCGTTGCAGATGGATGTAGTCACTTGAAGTAATAAAACACATATCTCCATTATTAGAATTGAAGCGTTACTCATTTTCTCTCTGTAAAATTAGTCCGTCAATAACTAGAACATTGCATTACAAGCAGCAATCTAAACGTTTAAATGGGGATGGAGGCTGCTCAGGGGAGCGATTGATGATCTACGGAAACCCGCGCAAATCATCACATCGACCTCAATTATCGATCATCAATCGACCTGGGAGTATCCTTAGACATGGTATTCGTCGTTTGACCTTTAAACCCCGACCTTTCTGAGGGTATAAAAGGCCAGCAATCTCCCGGTCGGGGCTCGCTTTTTTGATAACGATTTCTCTTTCTGTGTTCTGGTTGGTTATCAGCATAACTCAACGCATGACATATTTGGTACAGTTTCGGTTACGCTTCAGGTAACGCAATGTTTAATAAAAATGTTATCAAATAGCCGAGCGTTTTGGGCAATATGCTCTACGTATATCGTGTTTGCAGGAACTGTCTGGTAACCATTATTACGCGTGGCAACTTCATACATATGTAGATATAATGGTATCTCTGTAGAAGGATTTGATCATTTTTTTTTTGTAAGAGATGCAGCTTATGAGATGCAACCGTGTATGAGCTAAGAATTCAGAAAGAGATCCACAAAATAGGATAACGTGAGAGCCACTGCTAGAAATTTTTCAAAGACTTTTACGGTCATCTCATTCAAATTTCGCAAGCTTCTCCTTCAAGAAATTAAGCAACGAAGGAGATGAAGAGAATGTTCTAGATCTAGTCAATCGAGGGGTAGTGTAGTTGCAAGTGGCGCACCATCACGGTTCGAATCCCTAACCGATGCTCTGGCCAACTTTGTCTTTCATCCCTCTGGGGTCGGTTGACTGGTGCAAGATTAGTCTGAGAGGATAAAAGCACTCCGAGAACAGTCAAACCAACAATCCAATCCCAGCGTCCGGATGGCACTTTCGCCCAAACAGCTCATTAGCTCAATTAAATGGGATTAAAATGTTGTTTTGCTTTGCTTAGGAACCATGTATCTATTATGCCACCGAAACGTGTCCTCAGCAGACGAAATAGTTGGGCCAGACGATTACTGCGGTTGGATATCCAAGTTTCGACACCTTTGCCTGATAAAATCTGGGGCGCATTGCAACTGCCTGGGCTTGGCATGACTATGTGTGATAGTGGTCCTCTTGTAATCAAGGTCATCATCTTTTGTTTATATCAAAGGTATTATTGCTGACACCATCACTGCCCAAGTGTATCACCACGCGAAAACAGCGCAGCAGTGTAAATAAATGCTTGACGAGTTTACGCCGATTTCGGCTGGCTCGCTCGCCATTTTGTAGGGATAAGTGTTGATGAGAGTAGAGCCACTGAGAAAGCCAGTTCTTCTAGTGTAAAAGATAGGTAAAGCGCCACACTTGAAAATCACGCGCATCCGTTCAGCCTATGCGGTTTGCTCGCACCTCACCATTTTAATGAGTAATTGGCATAACGTCAGACAGCGTAAAACAGTAATTAATGAAAAACAGATAGTCAAGAGACTCTAAATAGTGTGTGGAAAAGTTCTGCGTGTCAAGATTACTACACAGAAATTTTCCAAGCTTGCCAGCAAATCAGTGATTCTTAGAAGCTAAATCTATTACTGTGATATCAGAACTAGTTGGATTATACAAGTGCTGTGCAATAGAATCAGAAACATAAAAATTTCTTTGACTATGGATTGGAGGATGGGTTCCATCAATGCGGAAAGTTCAAATATTCCAAGGTCAGCTCTTGCCTATTCCGGCATACACGAAACATTACACATGAAATCAGCCATAAGAACAANTGCAATAGAATCAGAAACATAAAAATTTCTTTGACTATGGATTGGAGGATGGGTTCCATCAATGCGGAAGGTTCAAATATTCCAAGGCCCAAGGCATACACGAAACATTACACATGAAATCAGCCATAAGAACAAAATGCTCTTATTTCACGAATTGAAGCTTTATTCGTGGTATACAACAGCAGTGTTTGAGGTTTCTGTTCGAAAGAGCGAAATACACGTGCCATGAACAACATTTCAAGTTATAGAAATTGACCATTCAGCTATTCAGAGTTTGCGGAATAACTCAATTCAAGACGTCTGTATGAGAGGAATCGAATAACAACCGTAAGGAATGCTCTAATGATGCAGTCAAGAAGCGTTCAGAGTTGTCTACTATTTACTACAACACATGTAACTGTTATCCAAAAAAATGGGTGGTTTGCGTAAGCGAAATTAGTAGTTGTCACTTGGCTTTTCATCCCACGAAGGATAGCTACCCTAGACATCAAGGGGAGCTGAAATGGAGTAATTATCTATTGCTGTAATTTCGAAAACAGAATGGACTGTTCTAGAGAAGTCTGATTCATAGTGAAAGAAGGTAAAAGAAATAGTCTAGCTGAAAGGGGACGGAGTGGATCGTATTAGCCTCCCACTGCTGAAGCAATTCTAAGGAAAATTTTTTCAGATACTGGTAATGAATGTGTGACCTGCTCGCCACATTGGTTACAGAAAATGTTCATGATATAAAGATTATAATTAGTTTGAAATGTCAGAAAATAAACGTGTCGAGCAAAGCATAGACCATCGTTGATTGAATATATCCCAATTGAGGTCGTTGGCCGATAAGGTATTGAATGTGGTCAGGCTTGATAGTCTTTGATAGTGTCTCTAGAGGACAGTAAGTCATTTTCTTAGACGTCGCCGGAGTGGATCTCTAGGTGAAATTGAGATTTGCCAACATACTGCTATTGAGAAAGGCTATCAGTAGTTTTTCGAAGCCCCATTATTTAATATTGAACCGACGTTGTAGTTTATAGTTTATTGCGCCTGCATAAGGCCCACGTTGAAATCAGAGCGAGAAAACACAATTGGTAAATAATTTGAGGCAAGACAATGCAAATACCACTTATCACTATCCAAACAATTTATAAAATTCCATAAACAATAATATTGTGGTGAATGCTGGATTAAATGTCTGGATATATCATAAAATTTTAGGTTTACTGACATCTCACTAGCATATTAGCAGCATGACGCTTTAATTGAGTTTGTGATATGATATCTGATGGTTTCATAACCAGCCTCGGACCTTGGCCAGCGACCGGGTGAAGTTTTCTGCATGTTGGAGTTTTAGGTCGTGCTAGTCCCTCTTCCAATTCTAGAACATATAAATGGGGAAATTCAGGCGGAAGAACCAAACTACATAATACGAGTTCCATACCAATAAATAGACACACATCAAAAACTTCTCTTCTCAACTGTACAGATGGCGCTACTAGAAATCTGCTCCTGTTAGGCACACTTAGCCTTTCCAAGTATGTGAAATCATCAGTTCGCATAAGTTGCTTACGAGTAGAATTACTTTGAACTTGTTCTATTGTTTGGATATGTTCTTTTTTGAAGGATTGAAAATCATTGTGCTGGATTCTACTAACGGTGGTACATACGATTTGTAAACCAGTAGCAAAGCTTCTTCACTGGTAGTTGATAACCTATTGTAAAATTGAAGTTTGTGTAAACGAGCCTGTTCGACTTGGATTTTAATGCGTTCGGTGAAACCTAGATGGTTTCTGTCTGCAGGATCGAAGACCTTCTACACTTTCGACAATAAAAATAGCAAATTCATCAAGTGTACATGCATGGGGAGGTTAGTTCGAGATGCACAAAGTCCCGATCATACTGTTTTATGGGGCCTAAAGGCGACTGCATTCTTCAGACCTTTTCTTTACAAGGTGCACAAAATCTTGCAGCTTTTGAGTGTGTTCTAACCCAGGCATGCAGATGACTTCAAGTATTCAAATATTCGAATTCTATGTACCTTTCTACTATGTATCTCCTGTTTTGGGGATTACATCTGTAAGTTCCGCTGTAGAACTGATAAAAGAAATGAAAATCGAACATCTCCCCGAGATATCACTTATAACTCGTTTACCATCAGAAAACGCTTGGTCAACACTATAACTTGAAATTTTCTCTTAAAGATGGTTCTAAGTTCAGTTCACAAGTACATAGTGAAATACTAGAGCTTCAGCTTCTTGGATGGAAAATGCTGGGACAGCCCATCTATCGAGTTCACACAGAAGAAATCATCGAAGGTTTATATTTCGAAGCATTGTTGTGGAGAAAATTCTGGTGGGTGGCATCAAAGATCCGATGTCTGATACTTTGTTGAAAAGACAGCCTTTCGCCAAGTCTCGCATGTCTCGATTGAGAACAATGTACACAATGGCATTACAAGCACCTAAACAGATATTTTTAGATTCACGCATAGAACTATTCATAAGGTGAATTGACTTACCAGCGGAAAGTAGGCCAGTTAAATAAAAAGGACCGACTTTCCTGAAAATGGAGTATCCTAACATATCGACTATGCCAACAAAATTACTTGGAATCGTAACAAAGACCAATGACGTCAGTAGAATACCAGCAGATGTACGGTTCGCCTGAAGAAGCTTGCCATAAAGTGGAAGAACTAGTTTCTCCTCAAAAATTAGGGTGCGGTACAATGATCGATTGTGGTACCTGTTGAAATCTTCTCGATTCATTGTTCATGAAAGTTCGCCTCGATTTCGATTCTTTCTCAATGAGTTGTAATTTAGCGATGAGTAGAGCTGTCAACAAAATCACTATGAAACCCATAACCTAAACAACGCTCATGTGTGATTTAAAACTTGTGAATCTAATAATTGCTTTATATGAATTGATAGAGCATCCTTACCATATTGCTAGTTCCCCAGTAGCGACTAAATTCTGAGGTGACAAAACATCCGACAGACCCACAGTTTGGAGAGTCTTTGAAAGGGAAATATACGAAATCCAGAACAACATCAATTGTTGCCAAAAGACAGCCGATTAGCAAGCAAAACATAGCATATTCAGAAGAAGGCATTTTTCTGTACGTCACAGGAAAGAAAATAGCCTCAAAGAATGTATTACGATGTTGAACAATCTCGCTGAACCTTCTCTCGAATTCATACCAATGTTCGCTCCAATGCTATGGATATAGTCAGCGTCAGATTTATTTTCAATTGAACAATGAAAAAAACACTAGAAAATACGATGTAGTACGGATCAAGACTAAAATATGTTGGATCCCAGTGAGTCACCATATACATGGAATACGGCAAAGCTGAATTAAGGACGTTGAACAAATTACTCTTTGCAGGTACATATTGTTTACTCAATATGCAGTAGCGCTCAAAAGTCCTCAGCCGAACGGTTTTTCTTTTGTAACTTTTGCATCAGTAGATCAAATGCAGCGAAATTTTGATATGTATTATATAAATAAACAATTTTCACTTTATCCAGCGCTATTTGACTGCAAAACAGCCACATCTACATAAGTCAGAGCAAGGTGCTCCTGCGGTAGTAGACTTCGCCAGAAACAATGTCGGCGACGTCTGCGATTTTTTGCACATAAGTGGGTTTTTCCTATCCGTTTTGTTCGGCATTAGCGTTCGTACACTTTAGACATGAAAACAAGCAAAGAACTCTTAGATGGATCATCATCCCTATCTCCAGTTGATCTTGATTCAAGCTCTTTGAGTTATCTGGACCATGATCAATTTGTAGATAAAAGGTTGTAAATGACTGGATCCAGTAGGAAAGGGATTACGACTAAAAACTATCACTGAAAGAGCATTCGGCCGATGACTTCTGAGCGCTACTGTATTTTCATATGTGTAACATGATTAATATAGGTATCACCCACTTGTTACTGCGTGAAGGAAATCTGCACATACAAGAAAAAGCAGAAGTCGGAGAGCAGCGTTCTTCCTTATTCTCTCAACCCTCAAACGATGACCATTCTTTACAGTTTATTCGTATGTGGGCAAATTTTAACTGCCACTTACTTGAAAAAGATGAATAGTATACAGCCGTTGCAGATGGAAGCGGTCACTTGAAGTAATAAGACGCATATCTCCATAATAAGAATTGAAACATTACTCATTTGTAATCTGTGAACTTAATCCGTCATTGAATCTGAGAAATTCGTTTAAATCATCACTTCTTGTAAAAACATCTCCAAGCTGCAAATAAGGATGAGCCAGGAATTCAAGAAGGCATAGAAGAAGGATAAGGCGGAAGAGCTATCGCATAGGATTTCATTCAGAAGTTCGCAGCATTTCTTTGAATAAATTCTATAGAAATGAAAAGTAATGTCCTATTATTCAGTTATGTGTTGTAATGGTAAGCGACTCACGATCACCCACGCATAGTCAGCGGTTCGAATCCTGACTCGATACTCGCCCAAGCCAACAGAGTTTCTCTCTGAGATCGAGTAATCGATACCAGACTTGACTGAGAAGACGAATGCACTGATTTGTACATCGGTTGGCCGGCGCTCCATTGTACTGTTCTCATACAGATTTCCTACGGATAGGTTCAATGCTGCGGTTGGATCCAAGTTTCGATGTTTTTCCTTCATTAAACTGCTAGACATTTCGTGCCTCCTGGTCTCGGCATAGTTAAGAATGATAGTTGTCCAATTGTAGTAGTGTGCTACCATCCATTTGTTCATATTATTGACGGCAGTCTGATGATATACATCAACAGGAATGGTCTTCTATTCAAAATGGAATCGTCAAGCTCTCACGCTATGAAAATTTCTCGTACGATGAGTAACTACTTGGAACACATATTTGTACAGAAGCCACTCCAAAGCCTTTTCAACTGCGATCATACAAACCTGACTCATGGGAATTTGGGCTCTCTACGAATTCCCTGGACCACAATGTAATGGGTCGCTGGATATAAACCATACCGGAGAGAAAAGCCTGCGCTTCAAAATGCACCACTGTTGTTGCTTCTAAGACACCATAAAAAAAGCCCAGACTGGAGTTTCTGAAAAAGCTCTGCGTGCCATCGTCGAGGAGCAGCCGGAGCGTCTTTGAGCTATATTTAGTACGGGAGACGGTTATTCAAGAAACCATATTTGTGGCGCGCCCTTTATTCCTGGGTGCAAAATCAACATTCATAACTTCATTGTAAAACCTTCAAAAAGAGGCACCACTTCGGTTTCAAACTTTTGCTACTGCAAAACATCGAGGCACCTAATCGTCTACGATTTTAGCAGAGATGCCGTTCTTGCGAGCAAGTTAGACAGTATTCCAATCTCTGCGGTCCACCGTTAGATGATTGATTTTATCTATCCGCTCTTCGTGTGCAGAGTGAACCTTACGGTAACCATCACTTCCTTCTTTGAAAAAGTAGTTCCCATTTTTCAGCATAACGCTTAAAGATAACTGTTGCTTGCAAATGTTGATCCAGCTCACAATGAACACAAATTTCTCTTTTACGGACTCCTTTTTGCAAAATTTCTGCGTGTGTTTTTGACTGCTTGGTTTCTCTCCACTTCCTGAAACTTCCATCCACCCGCAATAGTGGAATTGAGCAGTGACGTAAGTAACTGTGCTTGCTCAAGAGACGAAACAATGTCATTGGGGTCAGCATCTTACCTTTTTCACCATACTTTCGAGTCATGCGTACTTTTGATTGAAGTGACCTGATGCAGTAAGTTCCGATAGGGTGTTCCAAGCGTTGTTCAAAGTTGAAGAAGTGTGCATCAAACGTAAAATGAGTGATTAACATTTCATTGCATGTTGCACTCACGAAATGGCTGTTATATGAAGGAATTGAGCTTAGAGACACGCTTACTCGAAGACCTTAGGCAGTTTATTGGAGCTGTTGTTTCAGAAGTGAAGTGTTTTGGCGCATGTTGGGGCGTACGAATTGCCAACACAGACCTTTTCCTTCAACTGATTTTAGAGAACGTGATCGAGAGGAGTCAAATCTGGTGATCCCGACAGATGAGTCCTTAGTTCGCGGAGTTGTCAGCGGTATGTGGAGTCGTGCCATCGTGTGTTGAACAGGCACTTCAAATTCCATCACCACTTCACTGTTTAGAGCCATTATCGATTAACTTGCTCATACATATCAACTTGTAGATGCAACTGCTGATGGGTGCGAGAGAAAAGCCATTGGAAAAAAGATGATCAACGAATCTCGATAATGTAAAAGCTAGAGAACACGACACCTGGAAAGCACCGTCACGTGCTCGAGACCGTCATTTTTGTGAGGGATTCACATGGCGTCCTACAGGGAAAGCAGCAATCAATGGAAAACAAATCGTCGAACAATTTCAAATCAAAGTAAGATTCACTCTATAGCAAGCATGTCATGCAGAACCTCCTAATGCTTGTCGTAGAGTGAAAAAAGTCCAGAAACAAGTTATGTAGTCGTACTGTCAGAATTATTAGGGTACGTTATAAATGCCGTGCAATAAGACAGAAAGGTGAAAATGGTTTTTTGACAACAGAATGGAGAATTGGGTTCCGAAAACGAAACCAATTCAACTCAACAAAGCAAATCAACCAATTTTCAAACTGTAAAATGTTATTCTTAGTGTTTTGCAGCGATCTTTGAGCTTATGTTGGAATTAGGGAAACATACCTGTTTGAACAACACTCTGTCTTAAAGAAATTACCTGTTCAGAGTTTGAGAAACGACGTACTCAACGATCGGTTTGAAAGAAAGTGAAAAACAACCGTAAGGAACGCTCTGCTTTAATGATGTAGTGAGACGCATTGGGAATTGCCCACTGTTTACTACAACACATGTCACTGTTATCCAAGAGAATTGATGATTTACGAAAGCGACATTAATAATTATCACACGGCTTTTCATTCCTCAAAGAATAACTACTTTGGCATCCGGGGATTTGAAATGAAGCAATCAAACCTTGCTGGCAGTTAGAAACCAGAATGGACTGTTTTAGAGAAATCCGATCCATGGATAAGTGAGGTAAAACTGGTAGCCTCACTGAAGCGGAGTGCATTTGCCGTATTAGCCTCCAAATGTTGAAGCGATTCCGCAGAAAATATTCAGGAACTTGAAATAAATGTCTGACCTGCTCGCCATAACGGTTAAAGTAAATATTTAGATGATATAAATATTACATTCAGTTGAAAATATTAAAAAAAACTCTCTCGAGCGAGGTGTAGACTATAGATGACCTGTTGAATTTGCGGCGTAGTTGATATTTGCGTGTAGCAAGCCCCTTTTTGCAGAGAGCCTACAGTAACCTAATTGATGTCTTCTAAAGGCACACGGTTCACGATAATTTCGATATTTTCGATCTTGTCTTCCATTTTCATCATAATCTGGATTACCCAAATTTATCGTGAACTGTGCCTTTAAGCAAAATAGCACACCTCGTGAGCCTTTCAAACCGCGTATCGCAGCGGATTTTAACAAAACATTTAGTTAAAAACAAGCACACATGAAAGTCCCATTGGTTTATTCACAAATTCTTCTTGCATATGAAGCTACAAATGATGTGATAAAGACGGGAACTTCTTCACGAGCTTGTTCTGAATGTGAGACGGCATAGCTCGGACGGTATTCTTCATTCTGTAAAAATTTATGAAACTTGATAAAAACGTAAAAATAGTAGAGCTTATACCTCTTGGATGCTCCTTCTTTGCTGAGCTTTCTTCTATTCACTTTGTCGAAGAGATCTATGACCTACAAAGCAAAGAGCATTTAGGCAATATTCACAGGAGCGTTTTACATTCACCTTTTGAATGAAGAAATTTTCATCCGAGCTGGCTTCGGAAATGGTCCTGGTCACTACGTATTTTTCCGGGAAAATTTGTAGCAAACATTATTGCATGAAGGGCAGATGCAAGTTTCGAATCCTCCTATTCAAAATTTCAATGTATCCAGTTCTAGATTTCATTATACGCATTCGAAAGGCTCTTCTGAATATTGATTCTAAAGTGTGGTACTAACCAATCTACAATGTTCGAAGTCACTAAATTTTAATGCGAACATTTCTTCAGACAGACGACCGAGTATATCTACGCTGACGCTATTCTTATCTGTTTTCGGGTTCACGGGTTCTTCTGGTCCATCAGTCACGGGTTTTTTGGTCCCTCGGTCACGGGCTTTTCTGGTCCTTTTGTCACGGGCTTTTCTGGTCCCTCGGTCATGGGCTTTTTTGTGCGCCGTAGCATCAGCGCATGAAACATTAGGTTGATCATTGCCGTCGCATCCGCGCTATGTAGGATTAGGTGTGATTCTGAAGGAACGCGGCAATAGCGAAGGTGTTCGG